TCTGAGCTATATTTTGCTTGTAGTAGTTTGTTTTCCTTTTCATTGTTTTGGCCACTTCTATACTAATATATTTTCCTTTTTTTTCTCCACCTTAGTTTGGAGGGAAAGAGCTCAGAGATGAGGAACAGACAGCTGAGAGTATTAAGAACCAAATGACTGTGAAAGAGTGGGAGAAAGTGTTTGAAATGAGTCAAGATAAAAATCTATATCACAATCTTTGTACCAGCTTGTTTCCTACTATACATGGTAAGAGTTATATCTATTTGTGCACAAACTTGAAATCTAACTAATTATTACAAAGAGTAGCATTTAATTTTTTAAAGTGCATAGATCAGAAGATAAAGGTTTCTAGTGGGCTTAGAACGGGTTATTTACAAAAGGACAAATACAATTTCACTACGTGAGGTCTAGACATTCTAGAAGTAGGCAAATTCATAAAGAAAAAGTGGAATAGAAATTATCAGGGGCTGGGGGCACGTGGGAAATGAAGAGTTTTTCAAAGAACAGAGTTTCTATTTGGGATCATGAAAAAAATTCTGGTAAGTTATTCAAATAAAATATTTAATGCGGGGCTGGGGATGTGGCTCAAGCAGTAGCGTGCTCGCCTGGCATGCGTGCGGCCCGAGTTCAATCCTCAGCACTACATACAAACAAAGATGTTGTGTCCGCCGAAAACTAAAAAATAAATATTAAAATTCTCTCAAAAAAATAAAATAAACATGTATAGAAAAAAGTATATAATGCCCTTGAACTATATACTTAAGTGGTTACAATGGTAAATTTTATGTATATTTTGCCACAATTTTAAAAGAAAATCAATTTTTTCTGGCCTTATGGCCAAACTGCTATATTCCAATACATTAGACTAATCTGGGCTTGCTTTACTAAAGTTTTCATACATTTCATGAAATTTCATGATGCTTTTGGTTACTTGTATTATCTATGCTTTTGGCAGTTTTCTTTTGTGTTTTCCTGGCTCTTAATTGCTAGCTGTCACCGTTAGTCATTATATCCCCTTCTTGTGTTGAAGGACATGAATAAATTTGAGGGCCTGAAGTTTTACCCTTGAATTAGTCTATCCCTGCCTTCCATATAAAGTTGGGGTTATGGAAAGAACTGCTGAAATTATGGGTATTTCTCTTAGGTATAGGTGTAACCTTTTTTTTTTTTTTCCTGTTTAATCAGTGGAACAATTGAACCCTTTTATGTTAATTCTTCATGGATTTTAGAGTATCCTCTCAAATGGAGTGGGTGTCACCATTTTTGGGTTGCTCCCTTCCTCCCATAAGTAATCTCTTGTTATAAAACTCAAATTTAGTGAGTTAAAACAGTACTGGTTCATGGGTCAAGAATCTGGGAGCACCTTAGCTGGGTGACGCTACTTCAGGGTCTTTCATCATGAGGTTGCAGTTAAGATGTCAGCAGGTGGGCTGGGGATGTAGCTCAGTTGGTAGAGTGCTTGCCTTACATGCATAAGGCCCTGGGTTCAATCCTCGGCACCACCACCAAAAAAAAAAGATGTCAGCAGGGCCTGCAATCATTGACTAGGGCTGGAGGTRCCACTTAACAAGGGGGCTCACTCAGATGACTTCCAGTTAATGCTAATTGTTAACTGGCCATGTCAGTTCCTTCCCATATGAATCTTCCCAGTAGGGCTGTTTTGACTAYCTTCACAGCACAGCAGCTTGCTTCTTCCAGAGCACATGGTCCAAGAGAGTAAAGCAAGGAGGAAGCAAAATGCCATCAGAAGTTCCAGACTTTTACTTCCACCATAAGAATTTGTTAAACTGAAGTCACTAAGTTCATCCCCCACTCAGAGGAAGGTGAATTGGATTCCATCTCTTTTAATGAGGTGTGTCAAAGAATTTGTGATGTGTTTAAAACTACCACACCCTCAACACATTTTCTTCCATATAARTCACAGAAGTAAGTTCATGGAATGGATTTTCCCCCATGTACTGGGAATTGAAATCACCTACAGATGCACCCCAGCCCCGATCATGGTCCCCAAGGACTCACTAAATTGTGAGGCTCAACTTTCTTCCTGGGATTATAGGTGTGAACCACAGTGCCCAGCCTGGGGGATGGATTTTTAATTKTCTATTTTTATGGAATGATTTATGTAAATTTGCATAGCATTTAATTGGTGGAGTTCAAGTTTAGAAGTGGTTGAAAATTACACTCAGCATCTTATAGGTGATGATAAAAGTAATGTCTTAAAACT